TAAGATAAAATGAGATAAGATAAGATAAGATAAGAACTTTATTAACGTGTCGAAGTCGCTAGCATACAATGTATACTAATTGGGAACACCTAACTACGATTACTTATCTAATAATTAATAAAATATGAAATTCATGTACGTATGTGAGTGTTTAAGATATATATATAAAACAGGGTCATGCAGTAACATCAAGTGTTAGTTGTTACATAAAGAACAGTCTCTACAAGTACTGCCCAGCAGGCTTGTGAAATCAACCAATTTGATGCGCTTTTTGAAAGTGTGCAATGATTCAGAAGATCGAATAGATTTGTCGAGTTTGGACCAAATGACAGGGCCTAAGTAAGTCAGGTTATGTTTGCCGTAAGCAACAGTCCGAAATCTGGGTATCATGGTGAAATCAGAATTTCTAAGGTCATAATGAGAATTGGTAAGAACAAATAATTCCGCAATGTAAGGAGGCGCCAGACCATTTTTGACTTTATGCATTATGGTTGCAATGGCTTGCGATCGTCGCGTACAAAATAATTGATGGAGTACAATGTTCGCCAATTGGAATATATGCTTGAGTTGCGAGCGAGCTAGCAAAACCAAGCTTCCTTAGCTTCAAGCCAGCTGTTCAGGCAGCTGTTATAAAACTTCATTTAAGAACGTTTTGCATATCTTGAACAGCCTGCCAGCCATCCAGCCTGCCTGAAGACCGCCTCGCTTCTCAGTTACATAGGTCGGACATTAGCATGTCCTCCCAAAAATGTTTCAGTATTTGCCATTACATGCTCAACATTTGGACAATTTGTATCACATTATAACAGCCAAAGGGTATTTGATAAATCATACCACCCTCTTATGTGAGACTTGACTAATCATCCCTACAGTTTTCGCTCTTTTTATCTCTTACAGTTGTATGGTTAAGTTAATATCTGACTATCACCGATATATCAAGAGCTGCAAATAAGACATAGTTTAGGAATATACCTCAACTATGGGAGGAGTAAGATATTTTTCAACCCTTTTTTTCGTTTTGAATGCTTTGCAGTTCAAACTGTAACTTCCTCTATGGCTGTTAGTATTATTTATGGAACTCCACAAACAATACCTTTCAAAAGATATATTGTATGGTGGTCTTTGTGTCTATAACTACTGTCTCACAAATATGTGGTATTCCTCACGGGGGTGAAAGGGTTAAGCGCATCTCACAGATTAGAGCGACAACTTCTGAAGCTGGTAAAGTGGGCCAATGGTCGGAAAAATGCTGACACGAGAGATATATTCTACTGTTAGAAAACATTTTTTAATTAGAACTTACCAGAATACCATTGACCAAGGGGCCAGGCGGGAATATCTTCATTGAAAACTGCGGTTACCGTTTGCCCTCCCTTTTTAACCTTTACCTGATACAAAAACAAAAAACGGTTATTCTTGACGTCCATTTCCTTGACGTTTTGGAAAACTAAGTAGAACAACATCAATGATACGTTCTAGTTTAGTTCAAGCGATGGGAATTGAAAGATGAGAGCGTGAGATAAAGAAAGAGTCATAGCCCGTGACCTCCCGGTTACCGGTCAAGCGCTCCAACCACTGAGTTACAGAGGAACTAATGGTCGGTGTGGCCATTCAATAGGGGAGAGGAGAGGGGGGCGGGGGGCGTGTTATAACCGACACGAGTGCTGCCTGCATATGGTGTTAAGATCAGCAAGGTTAAAAAAGGATCCTGTCTGAGTGAAGATCAATAATAAAATATGGTCAATTTTGTGCTCAGTAAAAAAATGTGAAAGATGATATGTTATCATGCCGCTAGCAAGGACAAATAAAACATGTTATTTTTTTCTCAAGCATCTGAGCGGGCCGGAATCCTAATTCCT